CCTTTTTTGCAATCAAATTGCGCCCGTACCAGAGCAAACAATCTGATATTATACTAGGCACCGGTTATGAAAAAAAGTAAATTAGAGATGTCGGAGTGTAGCAACGCGACCTATACCATTCGAAACAAGACTGAATGAAATTTCAGTATTGCAAGTTTCACCTTTTTTGGAGTCAAACGGCGCTCGTACCAGAGCAAACAATCTGATATTATACTAGGCACCGGTTATGAAAAAAAGTAAATTAGAGATGTCGGAGTGTAGCAACGCGACCTATACCATTCGAAACAAGACTGAATGAAATTTCAGTATTGCAAGTTTCACCTTTTTTGGAGTCAAACGGCGCTCGTACCAGAGCAAACAATCTGATATTATACTAGGCACCGGTTATGAAAAAAAGTAAATTAGAGATGTCGGAGTGTAGCAACGCGACCTATACCATTCGAAACAAGACTGAATGAAATTTTAATATTGCAAGTTTCACCTTTTTTGCAATCAAATTGCGCCCGTACCAGAGCAAACAATCTGATATTATACTAGGCACAGGTTATGAAAAAAAGTAAATTAGAGATGTCGGAGTGTAGCAACGCGACCTATACCATTCGAAACAAGACTGAATGAAATTTTAATATTGCAAGTTTCCCCTTTTTGCAATCAAATTGCGCTCGTACCAGAGCAAACAATCTGATATTATACTAGGCACCGGTTATGAAAAAAAGTAAATTAGAGATGTCGGAGTGTAGCAACGCGACCTATACCATTCGAAACAAGACTGAATGAAATTTCAGTATTGCAAGTCTCACCTTTTTGGAGTCAAACGGCGCTCGTACCAGAGCAAACAATCTGATATTATACTAGGCACCGGTTATGAAAAAAGTAAATTAGAGATGTCGGAGTGTAGCAACGCGACCTATACCATTCGAAACAAGACTGAATGAAATTTGAGTATTGCAAGTCTCACCTTTTTTGGAGTCAAACGGCGCTCGTACCAGAGCAAACAATCTGATATTATACTAGGCACCGGTTATGAAAAAAAGTAAATTAGAGACGTCGGAGTGTAGCAACGCGACCTATACCATTCGAAACAAGACTGAATGAAATTTGAGTATTGCAAGTCTCACCTTTTTTGGAGTCAAACGGCGCTCGTACCAGAGCAAACAATCTGATATTATACTAGGCACCGGTTATGAAAAAAAGTAAATTAGAGATGTCGGAGTGTAGCAACGCGACCTATACCATTCGAAACAAAACTGAATGAAATTTTAATATTGCAAGTTTCACCTTTTTTGCAATCAAATTGCGCCCGTACCAGAGCAAACAATCTGATATTATACTAGGCACCGGTTATGAAAAAAAGTAAATTAGAGATGTCGGAGTGTAGCAACGCGACCTATACCATTCGAAACAAGACTGAATGAAATTTCAGTATTGCAAGTTTCACCTTTTTTGGAGTCAAACGGCGCTCGTACCAGAGCAAACAATCTGATATTATACTAGGCACCGGTTATGAAAAAAGTAAATTAGAGATGTCGGAGTGTAGCAACGCGACCTATACCATTCGAAACAAGACTGAATGAAATTTCAGTATTGCAAGTTTCACCTTTTTTGGAGTCAAACGGCGCTCGTACCAGAGCAAACAATCTGATATTATACTAGGCACCGGTTATGAAAAAAAGTAAATTAGAGATGTCGGAGTGTAGCAACGCGACCTATACCATTCGAAACAAAACTGAATGAAATTTTAATATTGCAAGTTTCACCTTTTTTGCAATCAAATTGCGCTCGTACCAGATCAAACAATCTGATATTATACTAGGCACCGGTTATGAAAAAAAGTAAATTAGAGATGTCGGAGTGTAGCAACGCGACCTATACCATTCGAAACAAAACTGAATGAAATTTTAATATTGCAAGTTTCACCTTTTTTGCAATCAAATTGCGCTCGTACCAGGTCAAACAATCTGATATTATACCAGGCACCGGTTATGAAAAAAAGTAAATTAGAGATGTTGGAGTGTAGCAACGCGACCTATACCATTCGAAACAAAACTGAATGAAATTTTAATATTGCAAGTTTCACCTTTTTTGCAATCAAATTGCGCTCGTACCAGATCAAACAATCTGATATTATACTAGGCACCGGTTATGAAAAAAAGTAAATTAGAGATGTCGGAGTGTAGCAACATGACTTATACCATTCGAAACAAGACTGAATGGAATTTTAATATTGCAAGTTTCACCTTTTTTGCAATCAAATTGCGCTCGTACCAGATCAAACAATCTGATATTATACTAGGCACCGGTTATGAAAAAAGTAAATTAGAGATGTCGGAGTGTAGCAACGCGACCTATACCATTCGAAACAAAACTGAATGAAATTTTAATATTGCAAGTTTCACCTTTTTTGCAATCAAATTGCGCTCGTACCAGATCAAACAATCTGATATTATACTAGGCACCGGTTATGAAAAAAAGTAAATTAGAGATGTCGGAGTGTAGCAACATGACTTATACCATTCGAAACAAGACTGAATGGAATTTTAGTATTGCAAGTTTCACCTTTTTTGCAATCAAATTGCGCTCGTACCAGATCAAACAATCTGATATTATACTAGGCACCGGTTATGAAAAAAAGTAAATTAGAGATGTCGGAGTGTAGCAACACGACTTATACCATTCGAAACAAGACTGAATGGAATTTTAATATTGCAAGTTTCACCTTTTTTGCAATCAAATTGCGCTCGTACCAGATCAAACAATCTGATATTATACTAGGCACCGGTTATGAAAAAAAGTAAATTAGAGATGTTGGAGTGTAGCAACATGACCTATACCATTCGAAACAAAACTGAATGAAATTTTAATATTGCAAGTTTCACCTTTTTTGCAATCAAATTGCGCTCGTACCAGATCAAACAATCTGATATTATACTAGGCACCGGTTATGAAAAAAAGTAAATTAGAGATGTCGGAGTCTAGCAACATGACTTATACCATTCGAAACAAGACTGAATGGAATTTTAATATTGCAAGTTTCACCTTTTTTGCAATCAAATTGCGCTCGTACCAGATCAAACAATCTGATATTATACTAGGCACCGGTTATGAAAAAAAGTAAATTAGAGATGTTGGAGTGTAGCAACGTGACCTGTACCATTCGAAACAAAACTGAATGAAATTTTAATATTGCAAGTTTCACCTTTTTTGCAATCAAATTGCGCTCGTACCAGATCAAACAATCTGATATTATACTAGGCACCGGTTATGAAAAAAAGTAAATTAGAGATGTTGGAGTGTAGCAACGTGACCTGTACCATTCGAAACAAAACTGAATGAAATTTTAATATTGCAAGTTTCACCTTTTTTGCAATCAAATTGCGCTCGTACCAGATCAAACAATCTGATATTATACTAGGCACCGGTTATGTAAAAAGTAAATTAGAGATGTTGGAGTGTAGCAACGTGACCTATACCATTCAAAACAAAACTGAATGAAATTTTAATATTGCAAGTTTCACCTTTTTTTGAGTCAAACTGCGCTCGTACCAGAGCAAACAAAAACAATTTGATAATATACTAGGCACCAGTTACGAAAAAAGTAAATTAGAGATGTCGGAGTGTAGCAACGTGACCTATACCATTCAAAACAAAACTGAATGAAATTTTAATATTGCAAGTTTCACCTTTTTTGGAGTCAAACGGCGCTCGTACCAGAGCAAACAATCTGATATTATACTAGGCACCGGTTATGTAAAAAGTAAATTAGAGATGTTGGAGTGTAGCAACGTGACCTATACCATTCAAAACAAAACTGAATGAAATTTTAATATTGCAAGTTTCACCTTTTTTGCAATCAAATTGCGCTCGTACCAGATCAAACAATCTGATATTATACTAGGCACCGGTTATGTAAAAAGTAAATTAGAGATGTTGGGGTGTAGCAACGTGACCTATACCATTCAAAACAAAACTGAATGAAATTTTAATATTGCAAGTTTCACCTTTTTTGCAATCAAACGGCGCTCGTACCAGAGCAAACAATTTGATATTATACTAGGCACCTGTTACGAAAAAAGTAAATTAGGGATGTCGGAGTGTAGCAACGTGACCTATACCATTCGAAACAAGACTGAATGAAATTTTAATATTGCAAGTTTCACCTTTTTTGGAATCAAACTGCGCTCGTACCAGAGCAAACAATCTGATATTATACTAGGCACCGGTTATGAAAAAAAGTAAATTAGAGATGACGGAGTGTAGCAACGCGACCTATACCATTCGAAACAAAACTGAATGCAATTTTAATACTGCAAGTTTCGCCTTTTTTGGAATCAAACTGCGCTCGTACCAGAGCAAACAATCTGATGTTATACTAGACACCAGTGACAAAACCTCAAAGACAAATTCCAAGTAGTTATTTTCTGAACACTCAGTGCTCTCCGACATAAAGTAGAACGACATTTTTTCGAACATTGAAGGAAAGTATTCATTGAAGAACAACAATTTCAGGATACAAACTACATCCACCTTGCCTCCTTTCTCAATTTCATTTTCCAAAAAGTCGTATTCCGGCTTTTTTTCAACTAATTTGAATATTTTTTGAATGTCTGCAGCACTCATGCCGACGCTTAAAACTGCGTGAGGTTAAAGCATTGATCAACGATTTTTTGAACTACTGCATGAAGGTTGTAGTCTATGGCCATGTTTGTTTAGCCATATTATGTAAAGGGGGGATTAGAAAAGTTCTCTCGTTATTTTGAAGGAAATTCTTTTGTTGGCCGGGTATGAGCCAAGTGTTTTTTTGGGGGAAAGTATGTATGCTTTTTTTGGAGGAATTAGTCTTTAAAATTTGCTTGTGATTTGTTGTTGAAACATTGAAAGTTTTTTCGAAATTACAGACAGGGTAAAAAAAAGATCGCCAAAAAGGTCGTTTCTTGTCTGATCGACTCTCCTCATCTCACGTTGACTTTATAAAGGTTTTTTTCAGCAAAAACATTGTCATAATGGACCATCCAGTGTGTGTTAAGCCGAGCAAAACGGACATCAGCGCAGAAGAAAAGGAGAAAGTAAAAGTTCAAAATTCCAATCAACTCGATCTCGAAGAAAAGAAAGCACCTCAATTTTTCGAATATGACAACGACGATCTCTCAGACTCAGAGACAGAAAAGATCAGTGTAGCGCCAGAGGAGTCTCGAATCGTGGAAGAAACTCCATGGAGATCAATTGTGATCACAGCAATGCTGGGCTTCTGCCAGGCCATGCAAATGACCTTGTACTACAGCTCCACTTGGCCGTATTTGTTGGTGGTAAGTTGGAAATTAGAGTTGACGTTTTTTAACTATCTTCTAACGCTAACCTCATTCCAGGTAGACAATAAATCAACAGAAACCTTCTACGGACTTGTCATTGCGGTTTATTCAATCGGCCAGCTTGTTGGCGCCCCTTTGTTTGGCTACTGGAGTACGAAAGCGAGAAGTGTAAAAGGCCCTTTGGCAGCATGTCTAATTCTATCCATGTTTGGAAATTTCCTTTACACAGTGCCTGAATTGATACCGCAAAACGCGCGATTCGTTGTTTTGGCGGCTCGGTTTATTATGGGACTCGGTTCTGGCAATATGAGTGTCCTAAAGAGTTATGTAGCCATGGCCAGCACACAGCAAGATCGGGGAAGGGCCTTTACATTCCTGACGGCAGGACTGTCGCTGGGACAGACAACTGGACCTGGTAAATAGACAGGGTTCAAGACAATCTATTTATATTCCTCACATTGCGAGGTATGATTAACGAACCGTTTTTAGTCATCCAACTCCTCCTCTCGCTGATTGGTCGTCCAGGCTATGAAATATTTGGAACTCTTCGTTTGGACATGTATACAGCTGCTTCTTACTCAGCAGTGTTTATAAATTTCCTTGGCTTGTTTTTCTTGATGTATCTTTTCGTTGAAAAATATGCCGGCGTCGATAAATCGCAGCTTGAAAAGGCAAGACGCCACTCTTAACTTAAGCTCACCGTATTTTACAACTTTTCACAAGTTAGCAGTCATCTTACTATTTTGCCTTTCAGAAATCAAAGAGAGATAAGAACGTCGATCAAAAGAAGTTGCCACCTTTTGACATGCTCGCCGTGTTTGTCTGTTATTGCACCGTCTGCGCTCAACGATTTACTTTTGTCAATCTGTCAGCGTAAGATTTCTCTATAGTTACTACTCAGTAATACAATTCCAATTCCAGGCTAAACTCTCCAATGGGAATGACAATATTCGGCTTTACGAAGATAGAAGTTGTCCGTGTCCTCGGAATCACTCATACTGCTACAACTGGTGTTGCACTTACGCTATATGTTTGTATTATGGTCTTCAAGCTGGATCGATTGTATGTTCTTAAAGATTAGAAAGGCAAATGCAAATAAGAGCTGTTCAGGATGCATTCTTTAGCTGTGGCCATAGTAAGCGAGGTAGGGTCTAGGAATTGACTGCGGCTCAGATAAAGCATACATCCAAAATGAAAAAGCGTACAGCCAAAATTCGAAGAATCTGAACACCATGCCTCGCTCATTGCTGTCATTACTATACCTTTTTCAGTATGAATCTACGCCGTCAAATTGTTTGCGCGTTCATCGGCCTACTAGTCTTCCACATGATAACGTTTGCTTGGCCATTTCTCCCGTCTGGATTGAATAAGTATACTCAAGAAGGTGAGGCATTTTCCTCTGCAACGCTAGAGTCAACATACTTACTTATCGAAGGGATTGACAACTTAATATTTCAGAGTACGACCTTGCTGAAGCGAATGGCACCGAGCTCACCGGCTGCAACACTGACCGGTTTGATTGGTGTGATCGGACACCAGTCATTAATCCGTATCTCTATTACATTGCATGGATAATCTTTGTCGGATTTTGCCAGCCCAATATCAATGTGACGCTGAACACATTGTTCTCAAAGATTCTTGGACCAAGACGAATTGTAAGCAATTTTATAACTTCAAATAATAGTTATCGTATAATTTAGGGCACCCAACAAGGGATCCTTCAGATGTCCGGATGCACGGCGCGGCTAGCCGGACCAATTCTGGCTAGTCAACTTTATACGGCGTTCGGGCCGCAAGTCCCATGGTTGATGACAATGACAGCGCTTGGGGCTGTTATTACTACATGGTTCGTGTTTTACGGAAGAATGGTGCCGTTGGTAATACCGGAAGAAGAGGAGAAAGAAGAAAAGGCATAACTTATTTTTTGGTATAAAAATTGTGACAAACGATAAACGATGTACATAATATAATATATGAAAAAGATAAATTGTAAGATAAGCATGTCAAAAATATGTTGTTGTTGACAAGTGAAGCATTAGCTCTCCATCCATACCACTCACAAATTTTGAGTGAAAAGTGGTGATTCTTACAAGGAATAATTTAAAAGTTCCAAATTTGCCCATTGAATAACCAGGCCGTTAATCTGTGCACAAGACACAACTGTATTATTCAAATCATATCATTCTTTAAAAGAGTCAGGTGTAAAAGTTTGTCCCGTTCCCCAGGTTTGTGTGCTTAATCCCACCCAAAAATCTATCATTTCAAATTTAACTCGTCAGTTATTCATGAGGTCAAACGCATGCAGAACTTTGCAATATTTTCGATAGCGCTTTGTGAAAAAGTTTGTATTCCTTTTTGCGGCTGCAAAAAGCATTTTTTACATTTGTCTTTTTAGAACGTTATGGCACCTCTCAATTCTGTAGAAAGCAGAAGCCGTTCTAATAAAGAAGGCCTTGGCGGTCCACCTTGTTTTCAAAACGTTAATCTGCCCAAGAAATCTTGTGATGAAAACGTAGACCCCATTAGTTCAGATGACGATGAAATTTCGGATTCAGAAGGGGAAAAGAAAAGTATCAATTCGAATGGGGCAACGGTTGTGGATGAGACTCCATGGAGATCGATTGTGATCACATCAATGCTGGGGTTCTGCCAAGCCGCGCAATTTACGTTGTATTTTAGCTCAACATGGCCGTATTTGCAAGTGGTGAGTTTTTGAATATACTACGGTAATTGTAGAGAGAGCTGTTTTTTACAATAGTTTAGAAAAGAGGAAGTTACAGTGGCAAAACAATTGCGTTACAGTAAACTCTCTGTATAACAAACTTTTTAAAAAAAACCTTCAGGTAGACAGCGAATCAACCGAAACCTTTTACGGAGCAGTAATTGCCGCCTACTCCGTAGGCCAATTCATTGCCTCCCCTTTGTTCGGATATTGGAGTTCTCGCTCTGGCAGTGTCAGAGGACCGATGACGACTTGTCTTGCGTTGTCCATCTTTGGCAACTTTTTCTATGTCACTGCAGAATTGATTCCAAAGAATGCGAGGTTTGTGGTGCTGGCGGCTCGTTTCATCACAGGCCTTGGATCTGGCAATGTGAGTGTTCTAAAGAGCTATGCAGCCATGGCCAGCACACAGCAGGACCGAGGGAGAGCCTTCGCTTTTTTGACGGCTGGACTGTCACTGGGACAGACAACGGGGCCAGGTAAGAAAAATAATATTTTTATTGTTATGTCCTGCATGTATGTATGACTTTACGTATTTTACCAATATTTCTATTGTGAACCCCAATTTCAGCGATCCAACTGCTCCTATCACTAATTGGCTATCCAGGCTACAAACTTCTCTTTGGCATGCAATTGGACATGTATACGGCAGCGGCGTATTCAGCAGTCGGAATGAATTTGCTCGGTCTGTTTTTATTGATATATTTCTTTGTTGAGAAATATGCTGGAATCGACAAATCGGTGCTGGAAAATGTAAGCGGTGTGTGTAAAACAACATTATAATTTACTTTTTCTAGACGTCTAAAGGCGAGAAGTCAGGTAATAATCAGTTACCTCCATACGATATGATAGCAGTCTTTGTGTGTTATTGCACAATGTTCGCCCATCGATTTACTTTTGTTAATTTGGAAGCGTAAGTCAAAGAGACTCTATGTTATACAGTGCTCACAGGGAACGACTAAATGCGGCTCCCAGATTTTCCTTAAACTTTGTACACACGTATAGGGCAATAGCCAATTCCTGGAGCTTCTAGCTCGCGCTTTGCAAACTGACAATGAGATAATGAAAGATACCTGCAGCCAAGAGAGTATCAATTGTATAATCTATTTTCGCACAGCAAATTACCTTGTGAAAAATCAAATATTTACAGTTGTATGTAGTAGAGTGACCTTGATGTAGTACCTGTATAATGCTTTTCACTGAATTTCAGACTCAACTCTCCGATGGGAATGACAGTCTTCAGTTTTACAAGGTTAGAAGTTGTCCGAATCCTCGGGCTCACCCATTCCGCTACAACTTTCATCGCATTGGCGTTATATGTCTGCATTGTAGTTTTCAAGCTGGATCGATAGTAAGCAAAACACACACTGATAAAGTTGGTTTCAGTATGAATCTTCGACGCCAAATTGTCTGTGCGTTCGTTGGATTGGTCGTCTTCCATCTGATCACGTTTTCCTGGCCATTCTACCCAACTGGATTGGACAAGTATTCGCAGAAAGGTAAGGCGTACCGACTTGCCAAAAAAACTTTCAGAATACAATCTTGCCGAAGCGAATGGGACCGAGTTGACTGGCTGCAACACCGATCGATTTAATTGGTGTGACAAAACCCCGATCCTAAATCCATACCTCTATTACATTACATGGGTTTTGTTTGTCGGATTCTGTCAACCAAACGTCAATTTGACGTTAAACACATTGTTCTCCAAAATTTTGGGACCGAGAAGGATCGTAAGTCAAGTTTATCTTGGACTCTAACTAGGAAATTGTTTGGTTTGAGACGTAAACTGTTGATTTTTCTTCGATTTTTGATACGCTTTTATACTGCGCTACCTAAAAATCCATAGTAATTCTTGCGGTTTGCAGGCGAATTGTAAAAATTCTAGGATCCTTGAAGATGAGAGAGTAGGCATAACGAAGAGAGCAGCCAAAGAAAAGAACGTTTTTCGGCCATTCCTTTTGGAATACCGTGCGGAAACGGATAACTTTTAGGCGGAGCTCCGCGGAGCATTGCCTACTTCATGGCGAATAAGTAGAAACTAGAGCTTCCCTTCTACCAACAAAAGCAATTAGCTAAATTGCGGACGAAAAAAGTCTCAAGTACATATGAGAAAACTCCAAGATCAAATTGATTTTTTTCCAGTATTTCTCATCTAAATTATGCATCAAATATGCATAAATACTTCTTTAGGGTACCCAACAAGGGATTCTTCAAATGTCCGGCTGCGCCTCTCGCCTAATTGGGCCAATCCTGGCCAGTCAACTTTACACAATGTATGGCCCGCAAGTCCCGTGGATCATGGACATAACTGTTCTTGCCGCTGTTGTCGCCATGTGGGCCGTATTTTACGATCGAATGGTGCCTTTGGAGATTCGAAAGGATGACGAAAAAGAAGAGAATAATCTTAAGACTGATTGACAACTGTAAACAAAAAATTAACGAGCAATAAATTGACATGATGAACCTTTTTTCACAAAAGTTTGCAGCGTGTTTTATGCAGATTGAAGAGCAATAGAACACCCAAACTTCCAAACTAAGACACACAAGTGTGTGTTGATCTTCTCTGCCGTCACTTGACTATACTTTCCGAACCCTGACTACGCAAATTTCCTGTAAATCAATGAGGGATTAGGCAAATTTGATTCAAAATTATTCATGAGCTGGTGATGTCGTCGCGGAAATCAGGTAGGCCTCGTGAAATCAGTTGAGTCAGCCGCTTTAAAAGTCCTTTATGTTTTACTATAGTTGACGAAAGCAAGGTTGAGGTTATATGTTTCTGTGGTCATCATTGTGTTAGCTCTTATCGTATATGTCTTGTTTATTTTAACCCGCAGCAGGCAAACGCTGTCCTTTTCTGATAAAGTACGCAAATTGTAGAGAGTCTGCCAGACAAAACTTGTTTGGCCGTATCATTTAAAATTCTCCTTATTGTTAGGAACGAGTTACTTTTTATGAAGATATTGTATTTCTTCGATGCCACAGACCTGAAATTATTATGTCGAGCAAAATGCTTTGCCAACTTCCGCTAAAATCTCAATTACACATTCTCATTTGTGTGTATATAACTCTGCAAAGGCTTTGTTGAAAAGTTCAATATCTGTTAGAAAAGCCAAATCAAAATCATGCCAAATTCTAGAAAATTGAATTTCTCCCTTTAGGACGTTGTTTTAGTTATGGATACTTTTCAAACCTGGAAATTTCCTGTTTTCAACATGGATCAGCAAACTTTATCATTCGAATTTATTCAAAACAGACCTGTTTTTTATTATCACCTCAATTTTTATAATATTATGCCCTTTGGTTTACCATGAAATCAGCAGAATACATAGCCCTCTAATATTAGATTTTCAGATGTCCCCACGAAACCCAACAGATCATCAAAAAAAGGACCTAGAAACCTTCCGCAATCCGAGTCTTGACGAAGATGGTGTGAGTGAGATCATAAATGCGAAGAAGACAGAGATTGATGCTCAAAGTGTAACGTCCATATCCGATAGACTTGTTGACAAAACACCATGGAGATCAGTGATCATCGCCGGAGGCCTGGGATTTTGTCAGGCCGTTCAATTTACATTGTATTTTAGCTCAACTTGGCCGTATTTGCAAGTGGTAAAGTGACGAAAATCAAGTTTTATTTTCACTTTCAGGTTGACCGTGACTCCACCGAAGAATTCTACGGTGCGGTAATTGCCATATACTCCATTGGCCAGCTAATTTCCTCTCCTCTTTTTGGCTATTGGAGCACCAAATCTAGAGGGGTCAAAGCGCCGTTAGTAACATGTCTAATCTTGTCTATGATTGGGAATTTTACCTATGTTCTGGCCGAAATTCTCCCTCATAATGCTAGATATCTCGTAATATTCGCCAGGTTGATTGTGGGCATTGGCTCGGGAAATGTGAGTGTGCTGAAGAGTTATGTGGCCATGGCGAGCACACAGCAAGATCGCGGAAGAGCCTTTGCTTTTCTGACCGGAGGCATTACTCTGGGACAGACGACTGGACCAGGTGAGAGAACTAGGATTTTTTTTGTAAGTAATGGAAGAGCTTTTTCGGAAGATTTCTCTATGCAATGATGTATTTTTTACATTTTTTAGTTCTCCAACTTCTCTTCACGATGATTGGGTACCCTGGAATTCCCATGTTCGGTCGAATGAAATTTAATATGTACACTTCGGCTGCTTACTCCGCCGTGGCAATGAATTTTTTGGCACTATTCTTTCTTCTCGGTTTATTCGAAGAAAAATACGCAGGAATTGATAAATCTCAACTGGAAAAGGTAATAAAATTTACTCTTAATCTAATCATTGGCCTCTTCAACGCATTCTTTTCGTATTTTAGAAAACAAAAGAGGAGAAATCGATGGACCAAAATCGATTACCGCCCTTCGATATGATCGCTGTTTTTGTATGTTACTGTACAATCTTCGCACAGCGTTTTACCTTTGTCAATTTGGAAACGTAAGCATTTAAATATCGAAATTGTAGTACCGCAGGTTAAATGCACCAATGGGTCAGACCATTTTTGGATACACTAGACTGAGAGTGGTTCAAGTTCTCGGTGTTGTTCATGCTGCGTCAACAGCAGTTGCGTTGGTGTTGTACATCGCGTTTGTTGTCTTCAAATTGGATCGGTAGTAAGTCATAAATATACAGCTCTTTTTTAAATCTAAAATTTGCTAGATTTAAGTAAGGATATTAAAATGGGGTTTTTTTCAGCATGAACCTGCGTCGTCAAGTGATAATCGCCTTCTTCGGGCTGTTGATCTTCCACTTTGTAACCTATGCATGGCCATTTTTGCCAGGACGTCCGGAAACGTATTCTCAGCAAGGTAAGTCGACATTAGACATGTACAGCGAAGTCACTGTACAACGAACGCCTGCAAAATAAAACCCGTATATGGAGAGCGATTCTGAAGTAACCAAGGGTTGAATTTGGCAAAAAATTGACCTCCATTGTTTAACATCTGTTAAACGAATCTCTTCTATAACGCACGGTTGAATACCTGATAAGCAGTTTATTCGTAAAGAAGAACCTGTTGTACCTATAGGAAGAATTCAAAAAAACCATTGCAACTTAACCGGAACATTCTTTTTCTCGACCAGAAGGCTCAATTCCGACTCCAGTCTGAGCTTCTTTGCCACATTTTTAGCCGCTAAAGTCACCAGTTAAACTAAAACATCAAAGCCTTATCACCATTATCTCTATATGTCCCTATAAATTGACACATGTCCATGAGGAACTTTTCAGAGTACGACCTTGCTCAAGACAATGGAACCGAGCTGACTGGTTGCAACAGCGATCGCTTTGATTGGTGTGAAAGCGTGCCGCGAGTCGACGAATATCTCTTTTACATTACAACTGTAATCTTTGTTGGGTTTTGCCAGCCAAATATCAACATCACTTTGAACACTTTGTTCTCAAAGATTCTCGGGCCGAGAAGAATTGTAAGTGCCAAAATAGGACTGTAACAATTGTTCGGTCTCTACAAACGTCAACTTTAGGGTACCCAGCAAGGGATCCTTCAAATGTGCGGAAGTGCCGCCAGATTAGTCGGGCCCATCCTGGCCAGTCAGGCTTACACCAAATATGGACCTCAGATCCCATGGATAATGTCGATTGCTGTGGTGGCTTTTGTGATCGCCGCATGGCTCGTTTTCCATAATCGAATGGTACCTTTGGTAATCCCCGAGAAAGTGGAAGACTCAGTTTTTGTTGATACTGATAGTGATGAAGACAACGTTAAAAAAGATCGACTCAAGTTTTAGTTTTGTTAAATTTTTGTAACTTTTTTGTGATCTCCTCAATGAGGCCTGTATATATGTATAATAACATCCGATTCGAATTATTTGGTAGTGTTTTTGACAATAAAATCATTGATAAATTCTTTGATCAACTTTTCTCTGTGTCGAGTCTCCTTGTTTTCTATAGTCTCTCACTTGCAATGATCGTTGAAAATTTTGACAGCGCTTGCAAAACGTGAGTTAAAATCTTTCGTAATTGATGTGTGACCAATGTGCAAGAAATAGGCAAAATTTTATGGGAAACCGAGAGTTGAGCCTCGGGCATCTTTACTGTCAAATTTTTATGCTACAGCAAGGTGCAATTGAAAAAAAGACTTGCTGTTTTGACGGTTCAAATTGGTCATCATTTTGTGGCTTGATTTAAAGACCTTGTGCGCTCTCTGTCACCTCACAGGGAGCTGGGTAAAATTTGGTGGTTATATGTATTTATACGACCCATACAACTACAGAATTGTTATCAAATTTGCCACACAAATTTTCAGTTTTTCCCACAATCAGCAATCTCCATTTTTTCCCGCCTTCCACATTCCCACTGACCCTTTCAACGCGATCATCACGCGCCCCAATTATTCAAATAACTCTGTTTACGGCTCAAAGGCGACGGATCGACCGCGAAATGACCGTTTTTGCGGCTGATTCAAACAAAAATTTTTAGGGAATCGAAAAAAGCGAAAAAAGTTCGGGAAATGGAGCAAGGGAAACAGGGGGAAGCAAAGGTCGAGACCCACGAGAGTTTTTGAGTTGAGACAAAATAAATTGTAAGGGCGAATCTCCCCCCTCTTTTTTCTCTGATTTTCCGAACATTCGCGTTTTGAGGGAGCGGGGATTTGAAATGTGTAATGGTTGGCAGTTTAGGGTAAATATTGAGATTGTAGTTGGATTTTCTAGGGAGAATGGTAACGATTTTTTGGGAATGAATCTCGGAATTTTCTGGGAGAAATTTTGTGAGGCTTTTGGTATTTTCTATTTTTGAAAACTTTTTTTTGTATCTAAAAAATGACGTGTTGGAATGACTTTACAGATTACATCTTTGCCATGGCCGAGTCTATCAAAAAATTTTGAATACCCGGGGCAAAAAATTTCTAACAACGGAATTCTCAACTCCTAAAATGAGGAGAGACTGGCAGAAAAATGTTTTTGAGTGATTCTATGGTTTGTTTTGTGAATTTTTGGGGCTACACCTTCGGGCTTTTTATACGTAAAATTTTGATTTTTTATTGAATTTTCAATTTCTTTCCGATTTCTGCCATTTCTGACTTAACAATCCAGGGTAGTCCTTCCAAACTACTGCTAAAAATAGCATATATCTTCTAAAATTGTAATATAAATTTTTTCCAAATACTCTCAGAATCTGAGCGTAGTACCCTGAGAATTCCTCCCATAAAATACATTCACTTTTTTAAGGTTCCATTCAGTACCATCTAAACAAACCCCTCAATTTTTTCTAATTTCCCTTATCAAGCTCGTTAATCAATTTTTTCTCTAATAACTCTACTTTTTACAATTTATTTTTACGAAAAAAAGATAATGCGATCACAAGTTTGACCTTTTCCCGTCTTTTTCTTTCAAAAACATCTGAAATTTCCCCACCGAAAAAAGTGTTTTGCTCAAAACATTCTGTTTACTTACTACTGCAGAATCTTGTATATTATTTTGCTGCAAAACCACGTTAATTCCAATGTTTTTCCTTTGGCTCTGTCGCTCTCATAAATCTCTTTTATCGCTTTCCCGAAAAACGTTGTCTTTTTGGTTGGAACCGCCGCCAAATCCCGCAGAATCCAGAACGGAGAGAAGTCGAAGATCCCGTGCTTCTAACTGATCTTTTTGACTGCCGATTTGAAACTTTATTTTCGGAAAAAGAACGTTGTTTTTGCGGGGTTTTTAGCAAAACTATTTGGAGATTTTTTGGGGGATCTTGATGAGGATTTGATTGATATATTTTGATGAAACTTGGGGTAATTTTAGGTCAATATTTGCCAAGAAACACCATGGATTTTTAGCTCGTCACTTGCAGAAATTACCAAGATTTTTAAATTGCAATTTGACACGGTTGAGGACGGAAGGTCATCATTGTTTTCGATGCGAAAGCGCCAAGTAAAAATCTGACATACTTCTGGGAAGACTGTAGTCTAAATTTGAGCCCAGTTTCATCAAAATTTGTCATTTAAAACTTCCTTTTTTTGGTATAAAAACGTCACTAACCAAAGAGAAGAGCTTATGACAATTTATATAAAAAAACCCTTTAACTTATCGTCCTATAGAGACTCATCTTCAATATTACCTTCGAATAGAACATTCTTCAATTCCCCGCTGTTAGCCGCGAGAGTGAACTGCGGGAAGAGCGAGGAGAAACTGTTTGTTCCTCGGTTTGTTTGTTTGCCAAACCCTCTGCAAGTCTAGTTTCTTATTCTTCTTCGCTTTCTTTCACTCACACTGGACATTCATAAATTTTTAAATCGCAATTTTTGAGTGTTTTTCTTGGAGGAATCGGGGTTGGAGGTGTTTGCGAAAGAGTGATGATAATAAAATAGAGGAAAGTCTGGAAGAGAGGTGCATAGATTTTTCTAATCGAGCAAGTCTTGATTTGCACTTAAAGACCTAATTTCTTTAGTCATCAAAGACTACTTAAGCATTTTTGCGAGATTTTCCCCCACTTTCTTTCAATTTTTCCCTATTTTTAATTGAGTTTCCGCTGTTTTCTTCCAAAAAATCAAAAGTCTTCTCTCAAATCCCCAAAAAAAGGCCTTTTCACTCAGATTCAGGTGGAGGTCGAGGGCCTTTCCTCTTCCCTTTTCTCGCGTCTACTCTAATTAAAATTCACGCCGAATCTGATGAATCAGATAAGGTGTGTCAATGGGCTTTTGTTTTTCCTACCGAAGGTAAATTTTGGGGGCAAATAGATCGGATAATTTTAGAGATTTTTTTCTCTGACCGTCTCTCTTTATTTTCAAACTTTCTCCACGGTCTGAGGGCTTTGAATTATGCCCCTGAAATTTTCCCTCATGTTTTGTAGCGGCATCCTGGATAATTATATAACAAGCTTTTTTAGGCAACAGACCGTGGAATATAAGGAGAGACGGGCAGAGAAAAAGGTTCTTCAGGCCTTAATTCTGTAAATTTTTGATCCAAAATCTGTGATTTTTCACCGATTCCCTCTGATTTTGCAAGCCTTGTTCCCGTTATTCCAATACGGGAGGAATTCTTTTGTCTTTTTCCCCATTAATCGCCAAAAAACCTTGAAACAAATTCATTTTTGAGGGCGCGAAAGAGGAGAGCTCAAGGTGGAAAGAGAGGGCTCAAGTCGAATACCTTTAGACGGGAAATTAATTTCGGATAAAAGGAGGGGAAAGACGGGGTTGAACGTCCAATATTCCATTATAATATTGGATGGTTTTGGTTGTAAAAGTAGCTTTAAACTTATAGCAAACCATAATATTTATTTTTTAAGATAGGGCTTTCAAAATGACACTTTGATATGAAAATTGGGAAAGTGAAATTTCGCGGTCCACAATTGATTTTTTCTCTGCGCCATGACATCATAATTTGAATAATTGTATAAATTTCTGCCTTTCCAGGTTAGACCACCGGCATCTTCAAGCTGGAACTCACAAGTCGAAGTAGCAGCAGTGCGTCCGAGCGCAGTACCGAAGCGAAACGGCGACGGCACCGAGAGAAAGTGGTGGACATTGCGCCGTTCTTCAAAAGCGTCTCCGGCGATGACTTTTGGAATTGCATCCCCTATCATTACACACAGCCCGCCAGAGCTTTCACAGAACTCCCGCAATCTAGTCAATGCGTAGTTGGAGACAGAGCTGGTGGTGTGAGGTTGTTGGAGGTAGATGGGTAAGGCTTTTTCTAAAATAATATCTTTTTCATCGAAGGAAGGTACCCAAGCAATACAAAAAATAGTCCATAGACTCTAGCATATATAGACATTTTTACTATATATTCTTCCTTTTAGTCACGCGGAAGAGCTGGACAAGAAGCACAATGTTCACAACGCTGAGATTGTTGACATTTGCGTCAACCCGGGCGCTTCTCTCGTTGCATCCACCTCCAACGAAAAATATGTCAACCTTCTTCCACTGAAGGACAACAAATTCGGAAAATCGGATCGCCTCAAGACAGAACAAGCAGTTCGATCATTGGTCTGCGTTGAGGACTGCCGCAACGGCGCTAACGCGTTGCTCTGCGGCTGTAAACAAGTAATATTGGCGTATGATGTGGTGACTCGAAAATGTTTTGGCACAATGTTTAATGACCAAAGTGGTTCAACTATTACGAAGCTGAGTGGGGTTGAAGGCTGCTTGTTGTTGAGTGCCACGGCTGATAGATGCAATCAACTGTGGGACATACGAGTTCAGCGACCGGTTAAAAGCTTCGATGCCATTAGTAAATGTAAGTTTAAGGAGAGTTTACAGAGTGGTCCTGTCAAAAAATAATAATCAAAAGATTCATTTTGAGTTTAAAAGCTATTGTAAAGCTACAAAGAAAACTTGTTTCTTATGAAAATGCTCTTGTTTATCTACATAGTCATAACCTTATACATGCCGATTTTAGCTACCTTGGCAGCAGGTGCTCATGTCGACAGCTCTGGCCGAGTTTTGGCTCGGATTGACGGCAATGACATGTTGTATTTCCATGACCTCGACACTGGCAAGCTCTTCCACAAACATCAGATCCCGGACGTCCAAGGGCAGCTCACCGCACTTCGATTCACTTCGCTACAGCGTTATCTGGCCATGGCGGATAGTGAAAAGTAAGCGTTTTCTACAGTCTAACCTCTTGTATAATAACAGCAAGTTTCTAACTCAAGAATTTTACAGTATATACCTCATGGATTGGAATCATCCGACCAGCGCCATCATCTCCAAACCCATCGGCAAAGTGTTGCCCGAGGACAAGGTCAGCAAGATACGATGGCACTCCACGAACAAACAGTTCTACTGCGCTGGCAACACGGGTTTCCAAACTTTTCAGTTTGCGGAACAATTGGAGTAAGCGGAAAAAATATCACAAGACATCAAGTTATCATTCGGTTTTGACTCGTCACTTGACAGTATTTTATATTTAATAATATTTCTCTAACTACAGAATAAAAGAGTATTTCTTCAATTTGAAAGGATATGATTTTCCAGGGAGTATAATAGTTGCCAAAAGACCATTCCCGAAGCGATAAGCGTTCATGTTTGCCAACTATGACATGCTTCTTTAGGCCGATTTATTAGACCAGCAGTAATGTTACGGTGTCGTTACCGCTCCACAAAATTCTTCCGACTTTTGATGGCCTCTGAGGAATCAATTTTCCACTGTATCTTTAGAAGTTTCGCTTTTAACAACATAATTTTTTATGGATGTTGCAACTCACCATAAAAAGACACTCCATGCTTTTTACAACGAATCACAAGCATTTTGTTTAACGGGAGTTTATTGCACAGCAACTCCATCTTTTAGTTAGGAATTGTGCAAAATTTAGAGCCTTACTCGGAAGAATTTTACTCTCTTAAATTTTTGCTTTTACTTTGAGGAGTCCATTTTGCCATAATTTTTTGTGGTGAATAATATCCGAGTCATATCTTCAAATGCCGTTTTTTTTTGAACGTCAACACCCTTTCGGAATACCATTTTTTGCGCCGACCTTGAGATCAGGCGACGTGCCGTGCCTTCGACCTGCTGACTTCTTTATTTTTTCATAAAATTTACTTTTTTGGGATTCGAAAGAGTCTTTTCGAAAAAGTGGATTTCACCTTTACAAAGGAAATGCCTCAAGCGTGATCCGCAGGTTTTTTTATTTTGCGTACGTATAGCGGGTCTGGGTCACAATCAATTTCAGAAAATTTTAACTCGAGCTTTGTAGGGGGAAACGAGATATTCAGCGAGCTTTGCGAGCTAGAAAGTGCGCAATAGTGTTCGCGAAAGGCGGAGCGCTTGGAGAAAAAACATTTTTTGTTCATATATCCTTGCCAGCTTTGTGTGTTAATATTGCCCTTTTGCGCAAAGATTACCTTCTACGGTAGCAATAGATATAATAGATATAAGAGTGAAGACAGAAGATTTCGGACGAAAATTTTTCGAATTCACTTTTTTTTCGATTTTGGAGTAAAAATTTTTTTTACTCCCAAAAATGCCAAAAAAAAGTAAACACGAAGTTTACTCCAAAATTTGGAAAAAATTTTGATTTTCGGGAGTAAACTGGGAGTTTACTCGCCGGGGCCGAGAAATCGAATGGCGGCGAGTAAATCTGGATTTTGCTCGCTTCCAGTTATTTCCTCAGCTATCACAGAGGCACAGATGACCCAGGACGTAAGGCGGGCGCGTTAGTAAATAATTCGCGCCAAACTTACGAAAAATTTTGCCGAATCCTGACTGGGACCCTCCCAGTCAGGAATCCCGCGATTCCTGCAGTCAGAAATGTTTTTAAACGGGCGGCCTCAAAATCGACATCCCAGTCACCTGAGACGAAGAAACGGGGAGAAAAAACGAAGAGAGCGAGAGAAACGCGCGCTATTTCGTGCTCTCTCTGCCTCTCTGCGCCCTCTCTTCGTTTCCCGCTCTTTCGCTCTCTCTCTCCTTTTTTTGCGCTCTCTCGCTCTTTCTTTCGAAAAGAGAGAGAGAGCGCGAAACGGAAAGAGGGCGCTGAGAGGCAGAGACAGCACGAAATAGCGCGCGTTTCTCTCGTTCTCTTCGTTTTTTCTCCCTATTTCTTCGTCCTAGTCAACAGTTATTGACCCCTCACCCAGTCAAGAATCGCGGGATTCCTGAATGGACCACAGTCAGGAAGTTTTGACTGTACGAAGAGTCAGGAACCCCGCGAATCCTGAATGGAGCCTGCCAGTCAGGATTCGGCAAAATTTTTCGAAAGTTCGGCGCGAATTACTAACGCAAATAAAAAAAATTTTTGCGCCCAGGGGTCGACTGTTCCTCGGGAGTAAACTCTGGATTTACTCGCCGGCACCTTCGGCGAGTAAATTCTGAGTTTACTCCAAAAAAGGCGAAAAAAAGTAAACTCGGAATTCACTCCAAAAATGGAAATTTTGAAAGCTATTTCGATTCCTACTCGCCGACCCATAAAATTTCTCGATTTTTACTCTCTTTTTCAAAAAAAAGTGAATTCGAAAAATTTTCAAAATTTTCCTCCGAAATCTTCTGTCTTCACTCTTATATTACACTTTTCTCGCCGAAATTCGCAAAAAAACCGCCACATTTTGGCAAGTTTTGGCCTAAAAATCTCGACCGTTATTGCATAGCGCAAGCTAAAAATTTCGCACAGGGATTGCAAAGATTTAATCTAAATTTGTGACAATTTTCATTAAAATTTCAGCGTCGCCGTTTCTAGCTTTACGGGGAAGAACTGACTTCTGGCAAGGAAGGCCTCAACACTCCGAGTAAAAGCTTGCTGTGCTAAATTCTTGAAAATTTCACAAAAATTCACTAAACCAATTTTTATTTTTAAGTCTTAAAATTTCATTTTCCAACCGTTTTTAACTAAAAAAAAATCCTTATAAACACTCGTAAATCAATTGTCGCTACAGAAATCGCGATAACTGCCGGTCAGATGTTCCGCTTTTGTGTCGCTCTATTCGGCGCAAAAACAAGGTTACGAATAAAAGGGGGATTTTTTTCGGAAACCGGCTATTTTTGTTTTTCCGAAAAATTCCAATCTCCATTTTTTTATGCAACTCTGTTTAGACGTTTTTATACACTCAAACAGTGGGGGATTCGTGGGTTATTTGGTAAACAAACTATAGTTTTATATAAGGAATGGAATTGGGATGATTTTACACCTGTTTTTACCGTAGAGGATAGTGTTAAAGAAATCATGGCTTGATAGAATAGATGTGCTTAAAATTGAGATTTTGTTTTCGTTTTTAAACCCGTTGTAGCGGCGTAATCACAAGACAGCCAAATTTAATTTTCAGGTTGTATTCCTTTTTAAAATTGATAAAGAGCTGAGTGGATGTGCATTTGTAAGTTAAATTGATGGTATAGCAACACTTATCAACCAGAAAAGAAAGTGGTAAGTCAAAGCTTTTTTGTCAAACCCTGCCATGGCAGAATTTGATGTCATTTCAAGAGTAGTGCGCAATTTCTTCGCAAAAAATCTTTTTTCTTTCCAAATTTTGCATTTACAGTCTCTTCTCTGTACAACGAACCGCAAAGGACAAAAAAAATATTTTGTTAAAAGAAGCTTGTTGTAAGGGGGTAAATTAACTCTTGGAACATCTGAAATTGTCCAGTAAAGAGATTTTCTTGCAATATGAGAATTTGTTATACAGAGTTCAACAGCATACCCATTCATCTTTTGTAAAGCTGCTCTCGAGTTTCCTTCAAAGGCAAATCAAGTTTGAACCCAAAAAAATCAGACCATATTTGCTTAACGGTTATTTAAATATTTGTCGCGGACCAAACCTGTGACGTTACTTACCATTAGTCTTTTTTTAAAAACTTACTTGCTGGATGAATATTTTTCGTCGTATAATGTATCAATTATTTCACCTTTCACTGTGAAAAAGTACCGATTTCTTAACAAAAGAGAGCCAAAATTGTTTGGACCCACTTTTACTTTTCTAGCCAAATATGGGAACAAAGAGACACGAGTTAGCGTCAAAATAAATAAATATTTCCTTTCAATGGTAAACAAAGACGCATAGTAACGATTCATTCCACCGTAATCTCAATGTTTTCCAGATGATGTACAAGATCACCGACTCGAATATCGAATACGAGAAGGGGTTCCTCTCCAATGCGACCACGATCTCCCCTTGCTCCAGCCGTTGTTCCACCGAACTGGAGCCCTATATTCTCTCGCCGTATTATGGACAAAAGGGCCTCCGAGGGTCATGTTATCCACAGTTAGTCTATTATATCTTCATGGCGTCTTGCTTTGTAATTGTGATGCTACTTTTCGCGTACTGTACCGGCTTTATTGATTTTTTGCATTACGAGCCGCCAAAACGGCAAAGATTTTATTAAAAATGGCGAGTGCTCAAAGCGCCGGTGTCCGATTTTTATGAAATTTGGTGCGCAACATTTGTCTAGGACAACTTTCAACCGCCAGAAAACTCTGCTTTTTTTCGGAAATTATGTATTATATATTCAACAATACATCTTTTGCAAAGAGACAATGGAATATGATGAGATACGGTTAAAAATTTAATAAGAAGGATCTTGGACGGTTGTTTTTCCATATGTATTTTTTTGTATTGATTAGATATAACAGATGCTGTTTTTTAGCCTAAAATTTTATAAACAAATCAATTTTCTTTCAAATTCCAAAATAAAGATGTTTATGGTTCGCTTCCATAAATGCAGTAATCTAAACGCTTACCAAGTTTCATCGTTATATAAGCTGCAAATCCAAGACTTTCACTTATTAGTCATCATTTTTTTCAATTTTTTATTTTCAAATAAATACAAATTTAATCAGCCAAGTCTTGTTTTACTTTTTATTTGGAGTTGTCGCAGGCGACTGAGGTTTCACTTGATAATCGGATTCCTTCGCATTGCCTTTGACCAACGTCTCCAAGGCCGTCATTTCTTGATACATCTGGCCATCCATCTGCAATTCCTCATCATCTTCTCTTTTGATTCTTTGAATGTGAACAACGACCAAAGTAAGGGATATAATTGCTAAAATTGATCCAATTGCAGTCAGGATGACACTGAAAATAAATGACAAATATTACTTTTGTAATCAGTTTAAATTTATACCAAGTTTTGCTCACAGCCAGAAGGTCGCACCTGGCTGTAATTACATCAAATAATTTCAAACTTACAAGACGCCAATCATTATTGATAGATTTTTAAACATCCCGAAGAAAGCCTGCTTCTTTTCCTTTCTCGTTTTTTTCAAAATTTCTTCTAATTCTGCTTGAGTCTTGTTGTCCATTGGCTTGATCTCGACCTGAAATAAAATTTTCAAATATTGGAAGATAACAAAAAATTAAGTTTGGATGAAATTCCTCGAGGTTTCGAAGAAACTTGGTCAACTTTAGATCAGAAGTCCTCAAATATTTGCAAATTTTTTTGATACTTTCTAATATTTATGGTCAAAATTTCGGTTTTCCCATGATCTTGTTGTCAACAATGAGAAAAAAAGCTTTTGTAGAAACAAAATTACCTGAAAAACGTTTTCAATGACACAAAAATCTACGACCTAGTTAGACTATGCCTGCAAAATTTAATGAAAACTCCAGCATTTCTGTCGGCAAAAATCAAAATAAAATTATTTCTTAAGAAAGACCTACCAACTGAAAAGTGTGCCACCATGGGCTTCCGAATCTTTCGTTCACATTTCCCTCTGCTTTTTGTTGGAATCCCAATGAAATATTCAAAGTTTCTCCTGTATAATTCACCTCATTTAAAGAACAGTCGGGCAGGAAAACGGTCTTCTCTCCTACGGTCATTAAAGTCACGGCCCGCGTCAATGTGAACTTTACATTCTCAAGTTTTCCTTTGTGAGAATCGGTTAGACCAATTTTTCCTGAAAAAAATGACAAAATCAATAAACTTTCTGGTAGAGTCTTTAGCGTACAGTTTATTGAGATTGTAAGAACGAAAAAATTGACAAAGATAACCGAATTTTTCGGTACAATATTTTTTAAAAAGGCTGTTAAGAATTGAACAATCGTTTGAGTGTTGACTTACCACCTCTCAATAACTGCATCTTTGTTGTGTTTCCATTTTCGGGCGTAAAACAAACTCCAATCCCACATTCCGGCTCGGAATGTCCTAGGCTCAGCTGAACACAAGAGCCAGACTGATCGCCTGGGGGCGACTGCTTCATAACAATGTGAACGTCGTATTCCATAGATTCTGTAGCATTCAAATTCTTATGATATACGCGCTCTTGCGACTCAGTTCGAACCCAATCAGAAGAAGAAACCAAAGAAAAGATCATCGGAAGAAGAATAGGCAGCATTTCACAGCCGGGTTGAGTGGAAAATAAAGAAGAGTGTACTCCGCCGATTTAATTTATACAAGTTTTAAAAAAACTAAAAATTAAGATTTTGATGGAAAACCTTATTTTGTCTTTCTTGGGCTGGATTTTCAACAATTTCAAAGCTCGACGAATCCACATTCTCCGGCCGATACAAGCTTCCCAAGAGGTAGTAAAAGGTCGTTTCAAACTGGATTGACAGTGGCCTCACCAAATTGAACGACATTATTCTAGTATAAGTCTAAGTCTTGCAGAGCTTAGTCTGCCCAGTATGTATACCCTCGCCGGAAGGGCTCCGTGGCTTACTGGACGTGAGTACAGACCACCATAAAAACAGAGAAAGGTTGGCTCCGCGAGGACCAGGCCAAGCACGATCGCTGAAGAAGTTCCGTAGCCAACGTTGAAGACACCAGGTGCTATATGACCATTCAAATGTCGACAGGTCCATCGGTTCAAATTTGACAAAACACGGAAATGAGCAGATTAATAAAAAACACTGAGACTGACAAAACCTATAACAATAAACTTGCAATAAAATAATCATGCAGTAGGCTTTGCCCCATCCATCTACCAAGAACAATACGTTTCCGTCGAGGCTTACTTTTGGTTCCATCACATTTTGCCATTATTTTCGTAGCCGTGATCTAGGGATCGACTCCAATCGTGATGAAGTAAGTGATACCTTCTGATCAGACCACCTTCGCAAACAAAGAAGATCTGATTATTTTTCTCTTATCCTAATGCCAAATAAAGGCTGCCAAATTTAACGGAAATACGAATGTCACATCTGGAATACTTCTTTTGTAAGACTCTTTTGTAGGTTGATTGATTGTAGTCCTACGACGTTACACATTCCCTCAAATCGATCCGTTTCCACTTTTTCCCTTCACTTCCGAGGAAGATTCACTTTCCATTTCCGATTACAAAAATTGTTGAGTTGAAAGTAATAACTAGTAAGAAGAGAAGAAAGAGGATCTACTCAACCATTATATAATAGTTAGATCAAATAATAATTCTATTTCTTCTCTTACAAAAAATTATTTTGATTTGCGACGTTCCGCAACCTTTTTGATTAGGACTGTAACAGCGTTATTTGTATCGGAACTGCGAGTGACATTCAGCGCTATTCTTTACGAGATAGCACATCAAATGTGGAGAGTTGGCCAGAGGAAACAAATCCATATATGGGCAACTCAGGAGTTTACCCATAATGTTGTGGAATGTCATGGAAAAGTTGGATCTTCTGTAGAATATGGAAAATTGGAATGCTCTCGAATGTCATCAAAATTCCCCCTTAACTTTACTGCCCATTGTTTCTCCAATTTCTTTATTATCTGCCTTACAACATCTCCAGACATTTTCGTTATACAATAGTAGCCTACGATTACCAAAACGTCTACTTTTTCGTTTATTACGAACCATTTCTTCCCTTCAAAATGCCCATTAGCGGCAAAAGTCCTTGTCTCAAAGGCGAAAAAGGTGAGAGGGAGGATAAAACAACAAAAAATGGTGTTGTTTCGGTGATTTGTAAGACGACCGTCTTCAGATTCCATTGGTTATTCCTGTTGTTTTTGGGCGGCTTTTTCGGTGATGGATTAGAGGCTTACCTGAAGGGATCTTTAAGTTTTTGATTGGGATTTTTGATACGGTTTTCTTAAGTACGCAAGACTTGGATTTTGATCAAATTGGGCGAGCTTAGATTAGAATTCTACTAGAAAATTTTTGACATTTTCAGACAGCATTTTAAAGAAACAATCGAGATAAACATACCGGAAAAAAATGAATTTTGCTGTTTCAGCATGGATACTAACCCCATAAAAAATGTTTAGTGGTCTGCATTGTTAATTTTTCTCATAACTCATGTTTATCACAATCAAAATTTCCTTTCTTTTATTATTGCATCATCTTTTAGGTTCCACCTTCATTATTTCTCCGTTTTCTTTTTACTCCACAAACGTGAGCAGCGTGGCGCAGTGGAAGCGTGCTGGGCCCATAACCCAGAGGTCGGTGGATCGAAACCACTCGCTGCTAATCGCTTTTTTGTAAGGGGAAGAAAAACAGGAATCGAAGTGAGCGATGGTATAGATTTTAGTGATGAAAAACCTTGTTAAACTTAATCTTTTTTGTGCCAATTGTCCTTTAAAATCTGAGAAATTTATTTAATTTCCCTTTAAAGAAAATTTGAAATTTGTCAACAGAATTTCTTTATATGTATCAAAAATTTTTTCTTCATATTCAACATATTTGATCCTTCTTCATTCTCCAGCCTTTTTTTCTAATTCTGTAGGTCAACAGATTTCCTGAATCATGGATTTCTTTTGTCTTTGCTCACAACCCGACTCATATTCCTCTCCCCAGAAAACGAAGAGTTTTGTCTGAAACCCTTGACCTTAATGTGTAAAAAATTGAGAATTACGCAAATGGGAGGTTTCTTTTCGAGCATGACGGGTGGAGATGAGATGGTAATGCTCTCGGTCGGTGGTCAGGGTTTCATTGACCAAAAATGGGGTGCTTGGCGAGGTTTTGGAGTTTGCGGTAAAAAAGTCGTCATTTTCAGCAAGTTTTTCTCCCATCTATTTTTTTGAAGAGAAACTATGGAGAATGAGGAAGGAGGTATGAAAAAATTGTTTGATTTTTTGGGTTTAGCTGCAAAATAGTAAAGCCGCAACTTTGCAAAAATCCGTTTTTTTATCACTCAATTCCTCTTCTTTGTTACTCATTAATTTTCGTTTATCTCCCGTTCCTTTGTTTCGATCGCTTTATCTTATCCCATTATCATTACGGCTTCCTGCCTTTTGATACTCAATGCTATTTACAAAAAAACGAGGAGGAAGATAAAAACAAGTAATAAATTTTGTGAGTAAGCACGAAAGCAAATAATTCGTATATTGTGATTTTTTGGTTTTTAAATTTTTTGTTTTAAAAATTTTTATCCACTTTTTTGTACCTATCTTTGAGGCTATTTTAACGAAAACGAGAAATAATTTTTCCAAGCCATAACATTTTTATTATATTTAAAAAATTTTCCGAACTTTTCCCACAAAATCGCCTGAGGGTCGGACAGGCCGCAGGGATCTGATTTCTTCGTCTCCTCAAAGGCCAAAGAGTGCTCGTTTCGAGGTCCGCAAAACGATAAAGGATATTATTTTATATGAGAAAAGGGGGATCAAGAAAAGCCGGAGGGGATTATGCTTTTCGTATTTATACGAAATTATGAGGGAAGGTGAGGGTAGTTAAGATTGGGTGGGAAATGTTTTAAATATTGTTTTAGATTTGAAAAAATGGTTTTATCTGCTAAAAAGCCATTTTTTCATATATAGCATCCGTACTCTGGATAGGATGTATTTTCACATCTAAAAGTTTTAGTTTACATAATCAGTGAGCCTGTCAAGTTATCACTATCAGTAAGTCAAAATTTTTTTTTTCAGATATGTCTTTTAAATTAGCTCAGAAATGAAAGAGCTTTCTAACTTGTAAAAATATTATACTCCCTGTTTGTAATAACCCTCGAATTTTTCAAGCCAAAAAATTCCAAATTGCCTCAATTTTTGCAAGTTTTTCGATGTACCCTATCATTTTTTTGTAAAAATTTTTTTTTTGAATTTCGTAAAAAGACCTCCTATACACATATTTCCCCTGACAACAATAAAAAAGAGGGTCGTGGTGAAATTTCGAAACCAAAGTTGAGCAGATTTTATCCAAAACGACGGAACATCAGGCGAAAAAGAAAAAGAGGGCTCTCCGTTCCTTTTTTTTCCGTCCCATATGATTCTGAATCTCTTTGTATAAATATTCACGTTCTCTGTTTATCGCGACGCTTTTTATGAGCTGTTATTACATGCAGAGATGGTACGAGTAGTATGAAATTTTTCATCGAAAATTCAGTGATTTTGGAAAAAAAAGTATTTTAAAAACGCACTTAAAAAATACCCTTTTCGGTTTTTCCTAACTTGGCAAACATTTTTTTTTTGGCCACAACTTATTTGTTGAAAGTTTCAACTCGCAAACTACAGCCGCAACCGGGATATTATGCAATCTTTTTCCGCGAGAGCACACACAATGCGGAGAGTCGGCTAGAGAGTTTTTCAGCTATGCTTGATTTCCCACGAAAAAAAAATTTGTTAATAAACATCTCTGTAAGCAATAATCATTTCTCAGCCTGTATTTTACATTCTCTCCCATTCAGATGACTCAAATTTCCCTTTTCTGAGTCAATAAAGATTTCCATGAATTTGAAAGCGTCACGCGTTCGAAGCGCTTTAATATTTTCATATTTTCGGATTGAAACGCGAGTCCGAAAAAGCATCCGGATTAATGATTTATTTTCGCATTTTTAATGGATTCCAAACGGAAAACTCTAATGGATTTGCGGTTTTCAAATATTTAAATATCTTTTTTCTTTGTATTTTACCATTTTTAGCCTCCAATTTGTCCCGATCTCGTAGTTTTTGCCCTTTCTCGGTTGGTTGGGTCAGAAAATTAACGGCTTTTAATGGCGCTCCCTATCTTTTTCCCTTTTTGACCTCCATTTTTGCATTTATTTTCCCCGAGCGGAAGAAGGGTAAAATCAAACGAGCGGCTCTTACTTTTGATTACTTTTTATCTCGTTTGAGTCATATATGTTGATAAACGAGGGGTAAAAATACCTCGAAGTCATAGAAAATTGATTTTTAAGTTTTTCATATTTTTTCATAATGTTTAAAATTCATTTACAAGATTTTTTCTATTAGTAATCCTCATTTTTTCTTCATCACAAGACTTTCCCTCTATCATTACAAAAACGCTCTCCAAAAATGTGACTTTGAAAAATACACTTTTTGTCTTATCAAAATCATCATATTTATCGCAAAATCTCTTTTTTTCACCTTCAAATTGAAGATAAATGAATCATTTTTGGAATTTTGGAAGATCCAAAAATGACTCACAAATAGTCAGGGAATTCGTCAGATATCAAAAAAACCCTTGTCGGTTTTCTGAAACCA